TGTCATTTAAACATAATTTCATCTAATTTGAAGAGATATTTTTTCCATAGGAAGACTAATTCAAAATATCATCTAATTTAAAGAAATATGTTTTTTTTTTCATAGTAAGACTTTGAAATCCAGTGTGTCTTTTTACTCATATAGAGCATATCTCAGTTCAGACTAGCCAGGTTTCATAGCCACATGTAGTTAGTGGCTACTTATAATCTGTTGAACTGCTTGAGTCCAGTTCATCTCAAAGCCTAGACAGTGCCTCATTACCCAGGCATTCAGTAATGTCTTGCTGCATGGAATATCATGTGTTTTGGACAAAAACGAAACAAAATAACAAAAACAAAAACAAACAAAAAAATCAGAAGTTGCTTTTTAGATTATCCTTTCTTGGCAGTTGGTGGGGCAGGGTAGGGTGAATGCTAGAGTTAACTGGATAAATTTTTCAAAACAACTTCCTTGTGCTGCCTAAAGTTATTATTATTAAAATTATTACTAGTACTTGGTAAAAGTCAGTTACTTCAGTAGTCCAATTTAAAAGATTTGTTTAAAAATTGATGCATTATAAGAAGTAMCTAGTAGGTTATTCTTTAGCAATTATTTCATAGAATTTTAGTTCAAATCTTAGTTTTAAAACAAGAAGGGTATTAGTCAAGAATACAAAGTTCCACACATGCAGGGTGAATAAGTCTTAGAGATCTACTGTTCAGGGTCATGCCTATAGTTAACAATACTACATTGTCTACTAAAAAATTTACTAAGAGAATAGATCTCATGCGTGTGTGTGTCCTCTAAAGAAAGAGGGTGGGAAAAGCCGTTGGAATTGATGGACATGATCATGGCATAGATAGTGGTGATGATGTCACAGGTATATTCTTATCTCCAAGCTCATCAGATTGTATTCTTTAAATATATACACTTTTTGTTTTTCAACCACACCTCAATCAATTGAATATTTGAAAAGAAAGTAAAGTAAGAAAACCTAATAGACTCAACTGACAAATACAAAATAAGAGGGGAGGAAAGGCTTCATTTCTATTCCCTGCCCTGCTATTGTTCCCAGTGGAACAATAGCAGGGCAGGGAATAGAACATGGAACAAGTCATTTAACCTCTTTACACCTTAGTTTTCTATTTATAAAATGAGGATTTTATCCTTCATGCCTGTCTTCATGGGTTACATGAGATTACGTATTGATAGTCTTAATATAGTGTGCCAAAGAGAATAATTGCTTAATGAATGGCAGTAATTATCATTATTGTGGTGTAATAGAAATTGAACTTTACATATTAAGATCCTATGATCTTCATTTTAAACATTTTAGTTTATATGCTTCCAAATTCCATTTTCATCACATATATTGGTTAAAATTTTCTTATAGATCTCAATTTGAAGTTTGCTACATAATCACTTTCAGGCTAATCTTTATGGTGCTCAGGATGATGAGATAGGAACTGAGGTAAAAATAATATCTACCTAAGTGGTCTTTTCCTTTTTGGTCCATCTTTTGCCCACCTCTTTGTGTATCTATGAAAACTAGGATTTAGATTTCAAATATGGGTATGAAGTTCTGCCACATCTCTTGGACTGCTTGTTTTCATTTCTTTCAAAACAAATTTGGTAGTAATTTGGTATTCATTGAAGACAGAGGTTCTATGTATTCTATAGGAGTGTTCCATCCTTCCAAAACTATATGGTGCCATTCACTGAAGTGCCATTGACCTTCAGTTCACTTGAGTTTATGTTCAAATTAGTCAAAACTGTTACCTTGACCTCTCTATRTATGTTTCTTAATGATTCATTTAGCATCTCTTTATTACTTCAGAAATAAGATAGAGTTGTGAATCAATGTGTAGATGCCATAAAATGACTATTTTCTTATTTAGTCTTTGGTGAATCTGAAATTTCCTTGCAAAGACATATAAAGATGATTAGGTCATAGTTCACYTAATACTTCAATCAATTACAATATTCTGACAATATTTTATCAGAAATGTTTGTCAAAAACATCCTCTTTTCTCCCCATGACTCCTGTCTGATTTCCACCTTCACCACCTTCCACTGAGGTATTGAGTAATTCACTTAGTAAACCTATTTAGGGAACATCCAGTCAAGGCTGGGATGTAATGATGTATGTCTAGGGCCAATGCTATTTCTGCATTCATGGAACTTCTATTCTCTCTCATTGCAGGAGACTCTTGCCTATACTTCAGTCTTCACTTTGTTCCCGCACACACTGTCTTCGAGGGCAGCACTACTCAGTTTATCATCCCCCAAAACCAAAGCTAAATGTTCTCTTTGATAAGTGGACGCTGACCATAATGGGGTGGGGGGGGGGCATGGAGAGAATGGAGGAACTTTGGGCAAAAGGAGAGGAAGGGAAGTGGAGTGGGTATGGAAGTAGGAAAGATGGTGGAATGAAATGAACATCATTACCCTAGGTATATATATATGACTGCACATATGGTGCAACTCTACATCATGTACAACCAGAGAAATGAAAAGTTGTGCTACAATTGTATACCATGAGTTGAAATGCATTCTACTATCATGTATAACTAATTAGAACAAATAAAAAATTCATATTATATATATGTATATTATATACATTATAATATATATATATATATATATCCACTTCAGTAGTCTGCATTTCCCAAGGTTAATTTCCAGACCCTTTAACTGGGTACCAGGACTTCATAAGGTGGTTCCCTGTCAAGCCCAGGACAGGGAAGTGCTAATGTTCTCCAGGTGGAGTCTTCAAGCCCTGTGTCCCTTAAGAACCAGTTCAGAAGTTGCTCCTTTTTTTTTTTCCCTTACCATCTTCTTTGAGATGGAGGAGTTTGTTTTGTAAACACAGCACTTCAGATAGTGGTACCCTATACTAGTCACAGTATACTAAATACTACCCTTCCTTCATTCAACCACAAAGTGAACAAAAAATTCTAATTGCAACCATCTGGATGAAAGCATAGCTTTACCAATATCTGAAAAAAATCTAATTCTTTACTTACACTAATTATTATTTAGAATCCCAGGATTCCATGGGTACTAGATAGTAAAAGAATCAATAGATTTGTATTATAATTATTAGATTGGTATTATAATTAGTACTTTGAAAATGAATTTAAAAGAATCAGAACTTTCTGGTAAGTTATTTGGAAAATGATGCTTTGGAAAATCAAGGGTAATAAAGAAAAATGGTTTGTCAATAAGTCACAGGAAGCTTATCTGGCTCTGAGTCTTGCCGGAAGTATATGTGTTTTTTTTTTTTTGTGTGTGTGTGTGTGTGTGTGTGTGTGGTGTTCTGGAGCTTCTCTGCCAGTCTCAAAGGTAAGTCACTATGGTCTTAAGGAAAGTAGTATTCACTTGGGGTGTTTTCTGTGTATCCATTGGACAGATCAGATAGTTTCTGGTGGTGATTTAGAGGAAAGAACTAGTGAGAAGGAAGGATTCTATTTCCTGCTGTTTTTCCCATTTGGTTCCTATTTTTTCTTGKACAAATTTTTAATGGACACGAGATTTTGGTGGATTTTCTGGTGAATTTTGTATTAACATTTTAAGAAAAGTATTCTTCCCCCACCTTTTCTCTTTTTCATCCTCTTCGTCCTTCTCCTTCTCCTCTTCTTTTTTCCCCTGCTCTTAAAAACATTTCTTCCTTCCTCTGTCTCCTGGTGCTTGAGTTCCATGGTAAGGGAACTAATAAAACAGAATGACAATCTCTTTGCTTCTCAGTTTGATTTTCCTATTGTGTAAATGTGTCCACTGGAAGCAAAAGAGAGTACAAAGTTAATCAAGCAAATAATTGATTTCCCAGATTACACAAATGTCTACGACTGGAAATGAAAGCAAAAGACCCAGATTTTTGAAAGTGTAGGGCTGTGTGTGTGTGTGTGTGTGTGTGTGTGTGTGTTTTAAGCATTCTTCTAAGTCTGTGTGTATGTTTCAAGCATTCTTTAAGAGAAGGAAAGAATTGCTTTGTGAGCTAGAAATACAATACTGTACAAGTCAAAACTTGTCCTTAGTGGTGCCTTTCATTTTGCAATTCACACCACACAAGTGTCTCTATGCTGTATATATCTAGTGAACTTTTTCACTTCCAAATCACATATTAGAAGTTGAAACTGCTGGAATCCTGTGGGTTGCATAAATAGGCAGACCATCACAATACGGATATCCTGAGTGTATGACAGTGGACTTGTAAATATACATTGTGCACTTTTCATATTAATGAAAGGATTTTTGAAGTTTATTCTACTATGAATACAATATACCTTTAAGACCATGGTATCAGAATAGGTATCTGGGCTTGATGTTAAATTTTGAAAGAAGATGGATATGTGCTTTCCCATATTTAGAGGGTTACAACATACATCTCTTCAAAATGGATAGCATAGCCTGAAAAGCAAAAGTTATTCTCATTCTTTACCTTTCGTAAGTTAGAAACCTCAAAGTTGAAATATAATCTGTGAAATATACTGCAAATATATGTGAAAAGTCTAGGAGCAATGCCTAAACTTAATTGATGTGCTGAGACATGTATAAAACATACAGTCATTGGATTAAGAAAATTAAAATTAATATATGAATGTTTTAGCTAACACTATACTGTGACCCAGAATCTGGTGTTTATTATTGTGTGCTTTAGTGGGAGACAGGAGCAGTATMCATTGGAAAAACACTTCCTAATGGACTAAGAACAGTATGGCTTTCTTGTTCCTAAGTAGGAAACATGGTTCTTTGGTTTCTTTGTTCCTCATTCGACTGGTCCCCAGCAATTTTTGCTGAACTTTTTACATACTGATGGAGACCARCGAAGTGCATTTGGCAGCTGTTCATGGGATAATAATGAAATACACAATTTAGTACTGCATGCTGTTGCTGTAAAATGTGGGGAATATTTTATAGAGACCTTGGTGAGYGGAGCTGTATCCACTTTAATAAGTGTGTGAACCTGAGTAAGTAAGTTATATTTTCATATGAGAATAACTACTACTTTTTTCTTACAGGTAAAGAAAACGTGCACAGATTCCGATGTTTCAGAACCTCAGAATTCCAGGTACAGTAAAATAAAGATTGAGACTCCTGTAAGAAAAATTGAAGCTTCAAAACTAGTAAAATATTATATTATATATCAGGTACAACTGAGATTTGAAACACTGAGTTTGTTACAGAATTTGTGTGTGGAAATTACATATTACTTGGCCAGGGCACCATTAATGATAACATTAATAAAAAGAGATTGTGATTGAAGTTGGTTTTAAAGAATAACAACAAATCTCTAGACAAGATTGAAAAATATTCTCTTTGATGTCATATTAAGTTAAACTTCATTTTTCAATCTGATCTTTTATAATGTATTTCTATCAGGAATTTTGCTGGGTACTGAATAACAGTCAAATCTGTTTTTACCAAAAAATAAAAACCATAATATTTCTCTTTGTAATGAAACACTGCTAGATTTTTGAGAATACTATCAAATTAGTAAATGCAACATTAACTTGGCATTCTCTCTTTGGTTGTTTGGAACTGGTGGAACTGAGGATTTGAAGTATGAGACCACTTCTCACAGGATCTTAGGGCTAGGGCTAAGGATGTAGCTCAAGGGTAGAGTATTTGTTCAGGGCACACAAAGCCCTGGTTTCAATCCCTATTGCTGAGGGATTTGCTAGTACTGAGTTGTTTGCTAGACCAGATGCCCAACAATTTTTTTTTTTTTTTGTTCGCAAAAAGTTTTTTTTATTTATATTTTTATTGTTGGTCGTTCAAAACATTACATAGTTCTTAATACATCATATTTCACAGTTTGATTCAAGTGGGTTATGAACTCCCAATTTTATCCCGTATACAGATTGCTGTATCACATCAGTTACCCTTCCATTGATTGACAAATTGCCTTTCTAGTGTCTGATGTATTCTGCTGTCTGTCCTATTCTCTACTATCCCCCCTCCCCTCCCCTCCCCTTTTCTCTCTCTACCCCTTCTACTGTAAATCATTTCTTCGATTTGTATTATCTTGTCTTACCCCTCCTTTCCACTTATATGTCATTTTGTATAACCCTGAGGATCGCCTTCCATTTCCATGCGGTTTCCCTTCTCACTCCCTTTCCCTCCCACCTCTCATCCCTGTTTAATGTACATCTTCTTCTCAAGCTCTTCGTCCCTACCCTGTCCTTGTTTACTCCCCTTATATCAAAGGGGTCATTTGGTATTTGTTTTTTAAAGATTGACTAGCTTCACTTAGCATAATSTGCTCTAATGCCATCCATTTCCCTCCAAATTCTATGATTTTGTCATTTTTTAATGCAGAGTAATACTCCATTGTGTATAAATGCCACATTTTTTTTATCCATTCATCTATTGAAGGGCATCTAGGCTGATTCCACAATCTTGCTATCGTGAATTTTTTTTAATCTCACCATTCTCCTTGCTTTCGTTTCTATATTCAGGTCTGAATTTTAAATGGATAAGTAAAAGTATTATAAATACCACGACATAATAAACATATGTTCTTAATCTGATGCTAATGATATAACTTACCCTAATATATTAAGAAATTTGCATTTAATTGTGAGTTGGTACTAGTTTATTTTGTCCTTCTTCACATAGCATATGATGGATGTAGTGATTCTCTTAGTACAACAAAGAAATACAGATCTCGGTGAAATGTTTATGGTACCATGATTTCCTTTTGGATAGCTAGATTGTACCATGTACCATCCATTAACCATTCAATAACTTTTCCTTTGTTTTACACAGCATGATGTTCCTAAAATTGATTCCTCTACGTATTAAAGTGATTGTATGTGATCTTTTCCTTTGGATCATTAAGGGCAATGTAATATGATATAGGATTATTGACATTCAATCTTTGTTCTTTATAGTTAGTTATCAAAATGGAACTAAATAAATTTATCTTGTTGGAACATTAAGAAATGGGTGAACAAAGATATCCCCCTACCCAATGAATCCTAATCTAATATRCAGAGAAGGGAAGGTTAAAGCTATATTCCTTGTAGGGACTTCCTTCCTGATCAGTTTGCTGACCTTTATGAGTAACCAATCTGTGAATTACTTTGCAAGGATTATAWACATTGATAAATTAGTAAAGGGCATGTCTTGAGGATTAGTAGAAAAAAGAGAACAATCATCTTCATTATATATTGATTTTTTTTTACACTTGAAGCCACTCAGGAATTTTGACATATAATTTTATACTTAAGTAAAATTTAAGTAGCAGAATGCTTCCAAATTGATTCAGTGTTCATGAAGTCATCAGTATGTCAGAGAAGAAACAGAGTTTAGTGCTTAATGAATTTAATCTTAGAATGACATCATTTTTTTTTTCAATCTAGAAAATTCCAATCTGTTGACCTCAAGAGTAATAGTTTAAGGGCTGGGGATGTTAGCTTATTGGTAGAATGCTTGCTTAGTGTGTGGGAGGCTGTTTGTTCAATTCCCAAGCACTGAAAAATAAAAGTGAGAGGAAAAATATAACTTTACTTTTAAGATAAATAATGGCTATTTCAAGAGACTGTTAAAATATATCACATTATTTAACAATATGTATCTCTGTGAAATTGAAAATTAGCTGCTGTGAAATTGAAATTAGCAGTTGTTGAATAGAAATTAGCAGTTGTTTTCCATGGACCAGCTACTCTTAAAATTACTGGATGTGTAATATACATGGGTAAAATCAAACAAATCACTTTCTAAAAACTTTAAAAACTGTGTTCAGTCGAAAACAAATGAACAAATGAAACAATCTGTTTAAAACCTAATATGGAAAAGCCTTTGAGAACCTCTGGGCTTTCTTATTGGTTCAAGGCTGCCCAGATGTTCTGGCAGTACTGATCTCTCTCCTTTTACTGGTACACTGCACAGTCTCCACACTCCAGTCACTGTCAGTGACAGAAGATGTGGCTCTTCTCGGATCCTATATTTATTCAGTGATATTAGGTCTGAGAGTTCTGAAAATGGTACTCAGTTAATGTAATGATGGAACACAAAGAAAATAATTAATTATACTTAAGAACACTAATTATGCTAAAGAATTCTCTGCACTGAAATAATACAATAACCACCTAATAGTTCACTCATCAGAGATAGCTTAAAGTAGTTTTTATTATATACATGTATAGAAGCTCTGTTTTTATAACATTTATCAAAAAATATAGACACTAAGAAGTATTATTTTATTACAGATATGGGTACTTTTTTTTTCCCATTAAGAACCACAAGCATTCACAGTCTCTCTTTCCCATTTTTGATCCACCCCATGTGTGTGTGTGTGTGTGTGTGTGTGTGTGTGTGTGTGTATTTGTGTGTGCATGTGTGTGGTATGAGACAGAAACTCAGTTGAGACTTAAAATTTAAAACCTGCAGCTTAGTAATTCTGTTCTGTACAAATCTTAAGTAAAGAATTGAAAACTCAGAATGAAGTACTGTCTCAGCATAAAACATAAGCTAGAGACCCACTGCCATACCAAATGCTGCCTCACTTGGAACCCGAAGCAAACGTCATTCATTTATTTATCTAGCTTTACAGTGTGTTGGTTTTGGATTCAAAATGATTAGAATAGATGCAGATGGAAAGTGTTTTTATAGTAGGGAAGTAATTAAATTGGGTGCGGAGACTTTGTTAGAATCCTCAGAGTGACATATGTGTATCAGCAAATTCTTTGTCTTGCTTGGCCTTAATTCCTCTTTTGGAAAGAAATGCTTGGGCTGCAGATGTAACTGGCAGATTGGGGAAAAGAGAATGTATAAACCCATGCAATGTGAGTAGGGCAAAACCATCTTCTTAGGAATAAGATAATATGTATACACTAAAAGCCAGACATCAGGGACAGTATTTGCAGTTTCCTTGAACTATTAAACTTGATGTCCTATGGAAAGGGATATAAARTGCTTCATATAAAAATTTACTCCACTTGAATGTTTTTCTTTTTTTTTYCTTCTGTGTTGTTAAYTATGTCCAGATTATACTCTTATTGGCCTTTGTTCTTAAAACTAATATTAACCATAAAATATATACCTGAAAAAACTAAAATTTATAATTTTTGTCATGTTTTATCTTACTCGAAAATTAAGTCTGCTATTAGATAGAGCATCTTAAGTGATAAGCAGAAACATTTTAAGTTTGTTTTTTTCCTATATTCATGGTGAATTCATTCATGTGGATTTGTTCCTCCTTYGAGTCACTAAAAAAATAATGTTCATGGTTCTTGTTTAATATAATAGATGGTTCCTAGATAAGTGAATATTTTAGCAGATGTTTCCATGAATGTCCTTTTTAAAAAAACCTTTCTACTTTTTATTTCCAATATTAAGTGAATGTATAAGATATAATTTATTTCATACTTTAATTGCATTCTGTATAAATATATTAGAATGCTACTCTGTAACAGTGGCCTCCATAATACCAATTGGGTTCCTTTCGTGATCTTTGTTCTACTTCTCTATGTCTTTTCTCTTTTGGACCTCTGAATAGTAAAGCATTTTCACTAAGAAGAGTTCAGAGACATAGAAAGGAAATGCAACTCAAGTTAAGCGATTTTAAAATTTTATACTTGTTTCGTTAACTAAGAAGTAAAAGGAATTATAAATTTTGGTGAAATTGGACTGTGACTTGACTTCCAGAAATTACGCCAAATCTTTTCTGTAATAGCTTTGTCTCACCTTGCCCTCAATATCACCAGTAGAATAGAGTAATGAGATCCAAGGGAGAATATTAAAGTAGAGGAAGTACTTCTAGGTACAGAGGAACTAATATGGTAGTTTTTCCATTTGTAGAGAAAAAGAAGATTCTGTGGGTAATGGTGAGGATTGGCTCTTATCTACTTCATAGGTTAAAGAAATTGAGTTTGCTGAGAAYTTAGTGGTTACCTGAAATTGTCAGGGGCCTTGACTATGTCTTCTTGCTCTGGACTTGATTAACTTCACAATTATCAAGTGAATGGCAACATGACTGTCCAACTTTAAAGAAGCTTTGGAATTAATTTTGCTTTAATAGCTAATATTTCAGTGATCCTCAAGAAGTTTTATCTATTGAAGAT